CATTACGGTTGGAAGATGGAGTCAGTTCACCATGTGTCGCGCTCGAAGTGCTTGGCATGTGCTAGCGCTGAACAGTGCGGGAGACAATTGTCGTGCGCAGAGGAGAGAACAGCAGGCTGGCAGCGCAGGTGTGGGACCCGCTTTGGACAAGTGGCGCGCGCGCAGAGAGAGCCAGGTCTACTGCTGTCGTGCGGGACCCACGCGAAATGGGTTGGAACGCGCTGGAGATCGCGCGTGCATGGGACGCGCTCCCTGGGAGTCTTGCGTGTAGGTGACTGGCGCGAGGTGGAGTGGGGAACGCGGGAGAGGTGGGGCCCACGCGAATATCAGCTTGTGGCTTTGACTCGGCTCACGCGGCTCTCTCTCTATATAGCTCAGCTTGGCTGACTTAAGGTGGCTTAAAACATGGCTTTCATGGCTTCTTTTTGTGTAGCTTTTTACACTGCTTTCATATGTAAATAATTAAGCAAAAACTAGACAAATTCTAATTAAAAATATTTTGTATAAAAATAATTGAATTGTTTAATTAAAGCTTAAATATTTTAATATTATATAAATCAAAAGCAGTATTTAAGGTATACGCACTAATCAAGTCTCTAATATAAAAGTTCACAAAGGATCTCTAAAATATAACATCCATATTTCATAGTAAATTGAATGGAAAATGTTTTAATTTGTAAATGCTTTTCTTAATAACATTGAAGAGAATATTATGCATTTAATGTAACTATTTCTACAAAATATTTTGTTCATTATTCAATTAGGTCTATCTTTATATCTGTTTGGTTATTAAGGGTTTTGTATGCATGCGTGTGTGTTTTGGATATTGGAAAAGCAAAAAAACAAAAAACAAAAAAAAAAAGCAAAAAAACAAAAACAAAACAAAACAAAAAATGCGCATAGCGCAGTGAAAGTGGTATAATTTTTTTTTTTTTCTAAAACCTTTAGGATCCAACTCATATTGCTATATACAATAATTGTTCATGAATAATGTATTCATACCTATTTTGTAAAATAATTCTCGACGATCAAGCGTTCCTAAATCACCACTTTTTGTTGCTATTCTCCTCTTGTTAAATTAATTGGTGTGTGGACACAGATTGAGTATTCCTTGTCTTTTCGATTCTCCTTTCGATCCATCTAATTTATGAACTTGTAACCTTCTAAAGGTAGAACTTTAGAAATTCAAGATAAGACCGAAACGTCTGAAGTCCACATACACCTCTAAAGGTTTATTTCTAGTACTGACTAACACGGCCTTCGAATTGATGACCAACCTGCTTCCTTACCTTTCGTAACCTAGCATTCATGATTCACCGAACATGTAAACCTCACCGAATAGATGGTTTAATTGGTATTTAATCTAGCAACATAAAAATCACCCACCTCCTAAAGAATTGAGAGTGAGCATGTGGCACAGTCCTCTTCAAGGAGGACTGCCACGTGCCACCTTTGAATTATATAAAGTTTAATATCAATATTTAGATAATTAAGATCTAATTTCAATCCATAATTATATTATATTTATCTTATTAATGCACAATATCTATATTAACAATTAATTTCAGAGAAATTTTCTAGTACGCTTGGCGTATCGGTAGGTCAGATTTTTTTAATTATTGAATTTACGTATTTTTTAATTTTTACATGATTTTATACAGATTTAATAGACAAAAAACTTGACCTTTCGATATGTTAGCGTACTCAAAAAATCTCATAATTTAGATACATATTTATAATTGACATCGATATTGTCATGTAAATTACATGTAATACAAAGGTACGTGTTGTACAGAAATATGCGTCCATTTGTCCCGGGCATTAGTAGTTGTCACCAACCCGGTACAGAGAATTGTTACACAGTCCTGTGAGACTGAAAATCTTTCTAAAATATTATACTAATTCATCCTAATAAATTCGGGGGCTAACAGAGAATCATATAGATATGTATATAATTTAAGCTCCAATAATATTGTTAATTAATTACACTCATAATTAGATCAGTATAATTATTAATTTGATTTGTGCTACTATAATTTTATGAAGTTGAACTCTCAAATTATATAGATAAACTATAAAGAAGGTTTGGTTATAATAGTTTACTATGTAATTTACCCTACACTATACTATTCATATATAGAGCTAAATTATAGAACAGCAGAACTACAGATGTCTTATGACTCTTATCCTGGCACATCTCGGCAAAACGACATCGCTCAAAGAAAGCACAAAAACATAACTGAGCTTGGCCTCCCTAATGTTGTTCCACATTGGAGAGCCAAAACTCCTTTATGGGTTGAAGCCTTGAGAACAGTTGCAATGTCTCATAAAGATATGACCAATATTTTAAATATGAATGATTGTATATTTGAGTACCTCACAGATAAAAACACTATTACATCTCTCTTTTTTGGATCAAGATGTTTTTCGTATGTTCACTTAAGATCAATATCTTTTTTAGTAATAAGAATATAATCAATCGTAAGGGATAAAAATTCAAATTCATGCACTCTACGGATAAATTCAGTAATTTTCTCTTCGGCTCTTGTATTTAAGGAGAGTCTCTAAAAACAAATTTGATCCTAAATCTCGACCTTTGAACCTGCCTATATAGTACATGATGGAAAAGGTAGTAATCCCTCCGACCATCAGAGTCTACAACCTCCCTTCTAGATGATAATGCAGAAAACAATTATCAAATTAATGAAGAATCTGAACACAACAGGGACGACACATTGAGAGGAAAGGAAACAAACATAAACAACGCGCGATGAGCGAAACTATTTGTCCGAAAATCTTCCTGTATCAAGCACTGCAAGTATTCCTATCATAGCCATCCCATGAAAAGTTGATCCAAAACAGGAATTCATAAACTTAAGTACAAGGTATTCTTCTGTAGAACATTCTTCATTAACAGGATTCCAGCTTAACCGAAAGGACTCAAGGATGTCTTGCAGCATCCAAGATGGTTCCAAGCAATGCATGCTGAAATTTCAGCATTGTGTCATAACCAAACATGGAAACTTATTCCGGGGACAAATGATATGAATATTATCGGATGTAAATGGGTTTTTAAATATAAAAATTAAAAGCAGACGGATCTTTGGAAAGATTGAAAGCTACATCGGTAGCCAAGGGATGTATCCCCAGCATAGATTTTCTTGAAACATTCTTAACTATTGTGAAATGTGCTACTATAAGGACAATATTGGCCATTGCTTTATGCCACAAGTGGGACATTAGAGAATTGGGTGTCAATAATGATTTCTTGCATGGCAATCTTGACAAACCTCTCTTTATGGACCAACCCCTAGGTTTTATCTATCAAAGCAAGCCAAATCATGTTTGTCAATCAAGCAAGCAACGCTCTCCATGGTCTTAAACTAGCCCTAGAGCATGGTTTGATTGATTTGGCCATTTTCTTTTGTCCTTTGGTTGTCTCTGCAGTACTGCAAACTCATGTTGTTCATTTTGACAAAACTCTTGGGCAAAAATTTGGCTTTGCTATGAAATTTTTAGGGTACCTTCATTATTTCTTAAGGGTAGAAGTTGCTAAAATTTCCCATGGACTTGTATTGAATCAGAAGAGATATGCCTCTGACTTGCTTACTCGAGCTAAAATGCATACTAATAAACCACTGGTGGTGGTGGTATAGTAGCGAATGACGACTTATCAAAGTTCTCTCTCCTATCATTCAAGGATCAACTCCCATTATTCGTTGTGAGACTACATGATGTGTCAAACTAGGCCCTTAGACTCTTCCCTGCCAGATGAGAATGTGGAGAAGATATTGGGCACAATCATTAACCGCATTTGGTTTTAGAGCAGATACCGTAACGACGACATTACGGTTGGTTGTTTCTATTTCTTCGTATTGATTATCCAACCATCATATTTTAGGAATCTCTTCTATAAATTCCTCAACTGCAAGATGTAAAACTACAGGAGTTTTATTCTTTTTACATTATTAAAAAATCTCTATCAATTTTCAGAACTTATTCTGGCAAATGTCCAAATTTCAACTGGAATGGAATAGAAAGGAATAGCTTTGGCTTTGCTGACCACCAAGATAGAGCAGTGTTAGTTTTAGGACGATGAAAACGTTATGGATCAATGTGTGATTTGGTATAAAGTTCCGAAGTAAGCTTAATCGTTATATATATGTATATATTTATATTAATTTTTTCTCCTTTTAACATGTTCATAGACAAAAAGGGCAAAGAGATATAGGTGTTGAATATAAAGATTTACTGATAGTGTTGTTGCATCTCAAAAAGCTAGGAAATTAGATTTTAAATTAACAAAAATGCAACTAATATTTGAAAGACCAATTACAAAATTAGATTTTAACATTCCCCCCACCCCCAAACTTTTCATGTGTTGACAACTTACCTCTCAAACTTTAAATTTTTAACATTAACCCCTTCAATTTTGCTAGCAAATAGAAAAGCCAATGACAGCCTCACTCCCGAACAAAAATTGCCAAATATCAATTCAAACCCTTACACAAATCACTCAATCTAAATCAACTCCTAAATCTGACCCAAAAAGAAATAAAAATGGGACATATTGCAATTATTTAACAAGTTGAGGAGATAAAATCCAAAACTAAAACTTTAAGGAACAAGTTGCTAAAAATAAAAAATTTGGAGGCAAAAGTATTTAAAAAAAAAAAAAAAAAGGAAAAAAAACCTACCAAATTTCACCAAAGGCCTCAAAGTTAGCTTGAGCCGGTCCTGGCTGAGAGCCTGAGAGTTGCTTTAGATCATACAACCTTTTTACCGCCTTCTTAAAACCATTTCAAGCATAAAGCACAATCGTCACACTGTGCATTACTGATTCACTACCGTCTAAACGAACATGCACCATGAACAAACAAGTAGAATTAAATGAAACGAGTAATCAATTATCTAAACAAAGATGGGAGACCAAAATGAGAATGAAATAAAAACCAATTCTATACCAATTTCGATAAACCAATTCTATTCCTTTGGCTTCACTTTTAGGTCAGTCTAGCTCTCAGAGACGAAAGAAATATAACACTGAGCAAATGGAGAAGTATTATGTATTTGATGTAGTAATCATGAAGAATAGACAGGAATAAGATTTCAAAATTTGAAAGCATAACCAGAATAGGCTTTGCTTTGAATCTTTGCAGTTTTGCTGCTTCAAAGTACCCTTGATGTTATTCCTTTCTCTCTTCTGCACCACCCACTTCTGAGCATTGAACAAAAACAATGTTTATAAAGCAAACCTTAACATCTAAAGGCAGTGAGGGCTCTTGTTCTGCTGCAAGGTGAAAAATGGTATGTTCATGTCAAAAATCGTCATTCAAACCACGACTGCAAGGCTTTACAGGTCTTCAATAGGAATTAATTCTAAGCTCCATTCAAATTCTATCTGCTATTTTTTTTGCTGTTTGTTTGGGGTCAACAAGATGGACTTTTTCGAATTGGGTGCTTCATGCCCGAAACCATTTGTCACTAAACCAGGTTCCGATTCTTCATCATCACTGTCAATATTACTTGGAGTAAACCGGTTCTGATGTGCTCTACGGCGCAAAATATAGACGTTGTAGTAGTAGCTCACCAAATCAGCCCTGCTCTTGGTAGGAAAAGCCTTGACAATCTGATCCCAAAAACTACTCTCGAGAGATGACAGATTTGAGCTTACTGTGTCCTTAAATTTCTTCTGCTCATCCTTTGTCCATGACATATGAACTTCCTCTCCCATCCAACCGAATCTCCACACATAAAAAGCTGATCCCAATTCCCGCTTTACCCGCAACCGTTTCTCAGCAATGTGAAATCTCACACATTCCACAGAACCCACCTCTTGACATCCACAAGAATCTTGCCTTCCCTTTCCAATAGGATCCCTTTCAACAAGAAACTTTTGCTCTGATTTGTCCAGTGGCCAAGCCTTGGAACCCAACCACTTAGTGTCACTTTCATATGTCTCCCAAGTCCATTCCGGTACTTCAGCTTGAAAGGCTTGCCCAATGGGAATGCGGCTTGGATTGTATCTATCAATCAAAGAAGCAGGCACAGAAGATTCGGCTGTTCCAAGCTTGTCAATCTGATCATCGGATCCTGATACGCTTCTATCCAACTCACTGGTGGCTTGGGATGACTCTGAATCAGCTTCTCTTTGAGATGCTGTGTTCCCATTGAGAAGCTTCCTGCCGCATTTCATCCTCTCTCTGAGATTGTAATTTGACCCTAGTTGATCACCATACATGCTTGGATGCATCCTCTGGTTTTTCTACAAGTTGGGATATACATGATCGATTTAACATAAAAATGCAAACATGTAAAGGTTTTTAGATTGTTTGTTAGTTGAGCAATATGCTAAGACATGAAAGCAATCACATCAAATAACCACAAAGTAATATGCATATTATATGGAGACACAAATGGGGAAAACCCATATACCACGGTCAAGTTCTGAAAGATTTCATTTTCTTATTACTTGAAGTTGGGTTACAGAATAGTTAGAAAACGTTTGGTTTATGAATTCAGAATCATAATTTAGAATTATTCTCGATTTACGTGTTTTTTATGAGAAAAAATACTGTAGGAAGTCATGAACTATAATCCGAATTATGATACGGATCCTTGCTCCAAATGCATCCTTAGCAACTCTCTCTCCCTTACCAATAAATCCTTTGAACCCTGTTGAAGGTGGTTTTATTCCTAGGTCTTTAGATTGAACAATGACTTCAACTCAACTAACTAGCTAGCTCATTCAGATTTCACATGTCTTCCTTATTTGGAATTTTAAACAATTTACTTAAGAAAATAGAGATGGTAAAAGAATTTCAATTCCTTGATTTTAGTAGACTATTAAGTAAACACAAATATATAAATAAAAAGTTTGCTAAGAATGTTTCCAGAATTCAAATATGTATATATATATATATATACACACACATACACATAGTTATATGTATTCTAAAAATAACAGACAAAAATGATTAAAGCAACGCCTAACGCCTTTCTTCCATGTCTATTAATGATTTAACTTGATTGGAACTAGTGAAATTTACCTAAGCAGGATAGATTCAAAACAATACCCTATACAAAACAAATAAATAAGATAATTGGAAAACTTAATTAAAATATTTGTATTAAAAAACAACCTTTCAAATTCACCAGAATCATATGCAAATCAAGAACTCAACTATAGGCAGAAGAATTAACAATTCAAAGTTGAGAAAACAAAGTTTATTTTAAGGTAATGATGAGTTTTCTCATAAATTGAAACAGAATGTTCATGAACAGGCAAGGTGAAAATAAAAACCTTGATTGCAATCATTTCTAAATAAGATAGCATTTAGTTCACATTATTAAGAAAAGCATTCAACTCCGCCTATGCGTTTGTATAGCCGATCCCAAGCCCGGGTAAAGGAGGAGGGTTGCGGTAGGTTAACGACCAGCGTAAAAATAAGTCACTCTCACGGATTTCACTAACATATAATTTGTTGGGGCGTTCCCTACGTGCGACGCGCTATGCCGGGCCCCGGGTATAGTTTTAAATAGGCAAGAGGTGGTCTTTGCACATTAATGGACGTGTGCGGGGGGGGAGGGGGGGGGAAAGCGAGCCCATGCGCCATGTTGGGCTCCGGATATGGTGAAAAATATGCAAGGGGATCCTTGCACATTCATGGACGTGTGCAAAGGGCATAGCTAGCCCATGATAGGAAAATTCATTTAGGTAGTTTGAATGTAGGTTCTTTAACTGGTAAATATATGGAGTTAGTAGATGTTATGGTAAGAAGAAAAATTAACATTTTATGCTTACAGAAAACGAAGTGGACATGAGAGAAAGCAAAGGAGATTAAAAATTTAGAACACAAATTATGGTATACAGGTTGGGAAAGGAATCGCAATGGAGTTGGTATTCTAGTGGACAAAACTGTAAAGGATGACGTAGTTGAGATTAAGCGAATATGGGATAGAATTATTATGCTCAAATTGGTACTAGGAAATAAGTTCATCTATGTAATTAGTGCTTACGCTCCACAAATATGATTGGATGCAGAAACTAAAGTCAAGTTCTAGGAAGACATGGATGACTTAATGTGTCGTATAGGCAATGAGGATAGCATTTTCATTGGAGGAGATTTCAATGGGCACATTGGTAAGGATAGGGAAAACTTCGAAAGGATCCACGGTAATTTTGGTTTTGGAGCTCGAAACAAAAAAGGAAAATCTATTTTGAAATTTGAATTGGGACATGATTTTATCATAACAAACACATTTTTTAAGAAAAGAGATTCTCACTTGATCACTTTTAAGAATGGGAGGAACTTGAGCCAGATAGATTATTTTCTCACAAGATATAGAGAACGTTCTCTATGTAAGAATTGTAAATTAATTCCTAGAGAAATACTAGCTACCCAACATAGGTTAGTTATCTTAGATGTGAGCATTAAGCTTTGCTATAGAAGCACAAAGAAAAACCACCTCCCACGAACTCGTTGGTGACATTTAAAAGGAATAAAGCAATTGGCATTTAAAGAGAAGTTGTTAGATTAAGCTACTTGGTCATATATAAGTGATGCAAATATTATGTGGGATGTCATGGCCAGCTGCATTAGAAAAGTGGCAACAGAGGTACTAGGGGAATCTAGATGTAAAGGCCCCCTGAGAAAGAAACCTGGTGGTGGAGTGAGGAAGTTTAAAAGGAAGTGTCGAGACCTAAATCAAGTGAGATGTGTTAAGAATGATACAAGCAAGCAATTAGTAAGGCTCGTTCTACTTACTTAGATGAGGTATACAAGAAACTTGGGACAAGAGAAGGAGAGAAGGATATATATAAACTAGCTAAGATAAGAGAAAGGAAGTGTCGGGACCTAAATCAAGTGAGATGTATTAAGGATGATACGGATTAGGTTCTAACAAAAGATAAAGACATGCAATAGAGTTTGACAATGTTAGGTCACAAGAAGTTACTTTGAGAAGCTTTATAATGATGATCATGCAATAGAGTTTGACAATCTTAGATCACAAGAAGAACCTAATGTGATGTATACAAGAGGAATCATAGTCTCGAAAGTTAAAACTACACTATGAAAAATGAAAAAGGGGAAGGTGTGTGGGCCAGATGATATTCCAATAGAAGTTTGGATGGCGTTAGGAGATGTTGAAATTGTGTGGCTCACTAAGCTTTTTAATGAGATACTAAACAAGAAGCATATGTCTAATGCATGGAGGAAAAGTATTCTTGTCTCCATCTTCAAGAATAAAGAAGATGTGCTGAATTATAACAATTATAAGAGCATAAAGTTAATAAGTCACATTATGAAACTTTGGAAGAGAGTTATCGAAAGGCGATTAAGGGCCACAACTACCATCTTAGGTAACCAATTTAGCTTCATGCTTGACAGATCACCCACAGAAGCCATTTTTCTTATTAGAATGCTGATGGAAAGGTACAGAGAAGCCAAAACGGACCTACATATGGTCTTTATAGATTTAAAAAAGGCATATGATAGGGTGCCGAGGGAAGTTTTATGGTGGGTGCTAGAAAAGAGAGGAGTGCATGTGAGGTATATCAAGGTAATTAAGGACATGTTCGAGGGGATGGTCACGAGTGTGAGAACTGCTGGAGGCTACACGGCAAAGTTACCCATTCGGATCGGCCTTCATCAAGGATCTGCTCTTAGTCTTTGTCTTTTCACCATCGTGATGGATGAGCTGACAAGAAAAATCCAAAATAGAGTTCCTTAGTGTATACTTTTTGCGGACGATATAGTTTTAATTGATGAACATAGAGAAAAAGTTAACCGTAAGTTAGAACTGTAGAGACACTCTTGAGACGAAGGGATTTAAGTTAAGTAGGATGAAAACTGAATACATGCATTATAAGTTTAGTAACTCAAATAATCAGAGTGATGGAATTTCTTTAAATCGTGTGGAGATTGGGGCTTCTAGGAAGTTTAAGTACCTTGGGTCTATAGTGCAGTACAAAAGAGATATAGAAGAGGATATTCAACATAGGTGTAAGGCAGGGTGGGTTAAGTGAAAGAATGTTACGGAAGTTTTATGTGATGGCAAGATGCCAATTAAGTTGAAATGAAAGTTCTATAGGACTGTAAGCCGCCCAACTATGTTATATGGTAGTGAATGTTGGGCTATTAAGAGACAACATCTATCTAAGATGAGTGTGGCAGAAATGCATATATTAAGATGGATGAGTGGCCATATGAGAATGGATCGCATAAGGAATGAAGTTATTCATAGTAAATTAGGTGTAGCACCAACAGAAGACAAGGTGCGCGAAGGCCGCTTGAAGTGATACGTGCATGTCCAACGTAGACCGTTAGAAGCACCAATTCGTGCTTGGGAAGACATTCTTATACCTAATACTAGGAAAGGGAAGGGTAGACCAAGAATTACATGGACCAAAGTAGTTAAGAAAGACATTCTAGATCTAGGCCTTCAAGAAGTTTAATTTTGAACAAAACTGCCTGGAAAAGTGAAATCTATGTAGCCGACCCTAATTAAGTTGAGATTAAGACTTGTTGTTGTTGTATTAAGTAAATCATTCCAATCCATATTTTCCCTTGACTCTTCATTTCTACTTTTTCCTTTTGAAAAAGACCCCCCATATGGAGTATAAAAATTAAAAAGACTTTGCTTTGATTACTAATTTTCTTTCCAAATAGATAAAGCCACTTGAAAAAGCTAAGCAACAACAAGCAATGCTACAACAGAAAAGGACATGGTATTTATAATAGCCTTTTTTTTTAGTAAGAAAAAAGAACTCCATCGAATATTAGACAATCTAATTATAACAGCCTAAAGTTCCCATAAAAGTAATAGTCAAAAAGGCTTACTGAGTCCTTAAGGGAATGTCCAATAGTGATTTGCAAACATTCTCCAAGTTTGATTTCAGAGATAAAAAATTTTTAACTTTAAAAAGAAATAAAAAAAAAAAACCTGCATTTAAAGATCGAAGAATGCCTCCTGTAATGGCCTACGAAAATAATTTTATGATACAATACATGTGAAATGAACTACTTAAGTGTTTCGTAGGTTTGAACCAAAAAGTTTTGGTTCACACCTTTTTTGTTATAGTGTTCCATCTCACAAAAATATAAACAAAATTGAATTTCTAAACCATATGTGTTGGACAAAAATAATTAAAGGCTGTAACTTCTAGTGCTCGTGCTCAACCTATAATAGACGAGAATAATATGACAATTTCTACACCAAATGGCATGACAACTTTTGACCACAAAGAAACCACTAATGCTCCATATTTCATATAACAACACGGGGGTCATTACTTTGTAAAAATTAAAAACTTGTCACCTGACTTGATGTAAAAAATTTTGGTGTAGTAAACTAGTGTCGCTAGTATTAACACTTGAGAGTCACACATAAATAATAAATTGGGTCTACTCTAATTCCATTTATAACAAGCAGAGGATAGCCTAAAATTGTAGCTGACATTATAAATTAGTACACCAATAATCAACCTAGCGCCTAAACTATAAGACATTAGGTAGCATTAATTTATGCACACACACACACACACAAAAACAGTGGCTTCACTAACTCTTGACCGTAATAAACAAACAGTTAAAGCAAATTAAATTCAGCCCCCAGTGACAAAGCGAATCAAATAAAAAGCATATGACCAAGTAAAGAAACACAAGAGTGTCCACACTCACATGCAATAAACACACCCACAGACAAACATAAACAGTAAAATCCAGAACCCACAAGATAGCTACATTTTCTTTTCCTTTTTGAGAATTGTCAAAAAAAAAAAAAAAAAAAAAAAAAAAAAAAACCAACCCCAACATGAACCGTCGGATTTTCATCAAGTTCCGTTCCGCTAAAATGCGCGTACACAAAACTAGTGGAAAAGTACCTGCCAAGTAGAGTGCTCAGAACCCGAATCCAAATTCCGTTTTAGAAAGATGGCCTCTCGAGCCAACAAGACCTGCTTCCAAATCTCCTGATTGTCATGATACTTCCACTTCAAAGGCTCCGGCAATGAACCGACGCCGGGGTCGCAGGGATCTCTCGCAACCACCATAATCCAATCAAGAATCCCGGTAAACGACGACGAGTCGCGGTCACCGTCTTTTAGTCCAAGATTAGAGTTTTCATCAGAGCCCTTCTCTCCATCCAACTCCAACACACAATCACCATTATCATCACCACCACATTTCTTTCTCTTCTTCTTGTTTCGAGAAAAACTCTCCTGATCGACCGTCTCCGGCTCCAAGATCACGACATCTTCGTCGCCAAAGGACTTGAGAAAGCCCTTGAACTCGGCTTTAAGCTCCATCAAATAGCGGCCCACATCGGAGCTAATGCTCAAGCAACAGATTCCGCTCTTCTCCTCAACGAAAATCCTATCCAACCATCTCTCGAACGTGTCCAAGTACTTGATGTAGACGAGCTTGACGGCGGCAGCGAAGTTCAGGCCGAGACCGGACTCCTCGGCGACGGAACCCCAGAGCCCCTTTTTCGACACGACATTGCAGCCGCCCTTCTCGCGGACGACGAGGAAGAGCTTAAAAAGGTCGGCGCAGCGGCCGTCGTCGCCGAGGATCGGAGGGATTGGCCGGAGACTATTCTCGTGGGCGCAGATCTCTTTGAGAAATACCGAATGGAAGTGGTCGAACCAGCACCGGAGCTTCAGATTCTGAGCGGCTTTGGATCCATCGGAAGATATCATCGACCAACCTGCCATGAATGATGTGAATTCATGTATTCATAGCAAATTTAAAAAACAAAAGATAAAAGATAAAACACAAAATCGGTGAAAAAAAAAAAACCCAGAAGAGAAATGGTTTGAGACTGGAGAAAAGAGCGAAAGAAATAGCTTGTTGTACCGATTGAGGCATCAGGGTCAATCTTGAAAGATGGGTTTTGGGCGGGAAAAAGGAATTTATGGATCTAGGGCTTTGAAGCAAAACAAGAAGAAAATAATGGACCCCCTCGAAAAAAATTTATTTTTTCAGTGTCCCGCTCTTCTCTCTTTTCTTTTTCCCTCTCTCTCTCTCTTAATTTCAGATAGTAGTATCTGTAGTCTGTAGAGACGAGAGAGAGAGAGAGCAACAAAAATAATAAAAGTTTTTTTTTAACAGAGAGAGAGAGAGAGGAATGGATAATACGAAACGACCCTCTCGCCATCTTCCTATTAGATCTTCTAAATTGTCATTCATTGGAGTAATTGATTATAAATGAAAATTTTCTGGACAAAAGGGAATAAAAAGGAAAATCTAAAATTGAAATTGAAATTAAACAAAACAAAAGAAAATAAAAAGAAAAAGAAAATTCGTACCAGTGTGTGAAACTGTACAATTGTGGGGTTTTTGTTTTTGAGGACCCTGACCCTCTGGTGACCGGCTAAGGAGGCCCTTTGGGTTTTTGGCTTTTGTCGTTGTTGTTGCCTTCTTCTCCTTTTCTTTTCCAGTATATTCCATTTCCACCACCCACTTTCTCTTTTTTCTTTTTGGCCCTCTTTCTTCGGCTGGAATTGCAAAAATAAGAGATAGAGAGAGAGAGAGAGAGAGAGAGAAAAGAAGGGTATTTGAAAATTGTTTTTGTTTGGAGTGAGAAATAAAGAGAGATTATTATAGGGTTTTTAATTTGGAAGAGAGGGTCAAAAACAACTTTTTATTTGTGGAGATCAAAAACGACTAATCATGGTTGATTTTTAACTAGGTAGTTGGGTTAGGGTTTTCATTTGGGGAGTAGGGGCAGAAATAAAGAGAATTTTGTGAAAGCATATGAAAAGAAATATCTTACTTTTAAAACACAATTCTCAACTATTTGTCATCAAATTTTACTAAATAAACATATCTCGTTGCATTTGATGTGATTTTAAGGAAATATGATACTTTAGAATTGTGTTCTATCATAAGATATATTTTCATGTGTTAATCATATAATTCTCTAAGAAATAATTACTTTATGGAAGAAAAAACTTATTTTTTTAATGGAGAATTTTACAATAAAACATAAAATAGTATACCTTCTTGATTGGATACTATTATAAACTATCTGATCATGTCAGAATAACATCAAAATTTTAAAAAATAAAACTACTTAACAAAACTTGATAAAAATATGAAGATCACAAATGTGTCCCACATATAGGATTTGTCCCATTCCCTTCAACAAAAGTTGCTTTATTTCCCGTGTCTATTCCCCTTAATATGAAAACCCTACTTTAACCCAACCCCCTAATTAACAATGAACCATGGTTAGTCTTTTTGTAAAGTTTTTTTTTTTTTATCCTCTCTTTCAAAACGTTTAAAAAGAATATAATATAATAAACTACTTATCTATTTATTTCTCCAAACCAAAACATTTTTGAATACCCTTCCCTCGCCTTTTATGATCTATCTCTCATTTTGCAAGTTGTTTACTCTACTAATTTTTTATGAAAAACAAAATAAAACAAAATAACACTAATGATAAAATTGTTACATACCAGTAAACAGTGAGAGTCAATAAAAATATGAGACCCTTCGGGTTTGTATGACATTATTACATATGTGATGATGTTTCGCATCGATAGTGATAAAAAAAGTATTATTTTATTTTGGTTAATTGATGTTTAGTAGATATGCGAGTTAATTTAAGCTCGTTCATTTCACCGATTTGAGTTTAGAATTCGAGTTTTGTTACAGTAAAAAGCTCTCAGAAACAGTCACATCTAACTTTTTTGCTACAGTAAAAAGCTCTCACATAAAGTCACATCTTCACTCAAATTAAAAATTCGAATCAACAAACTAAACGGATCCTAATTTATAAATTTGATTGCATATTTAAAATTTTTTTGATATAAAATAATGAAGGAAAAAGGTTTTAACTATGGTTCAAACTTGCTAAATGACAGTGATATTAGAGTATTGATTCCTAAAAGTCAACTCTTAGGGATATTATTTTTTTTCCTATACCAATATGATTATCACTAATGTGAAGCTTGTAGATAATTCTTTTAAAAAAAAATATTCTAGGATAATAAAAGATAACAATAGCCATTTTCTTTTGTGTTTTCCGGTTTGAAATGAAAATTTTACCTATAACCTTGGATAGATAGCTTTACATTATACTTTACGATTGCAAACTTAGCTCATTGAAAATTTCAAAGTTATAGTTTAAATCATTACGTGGGAAATTGTAGTAAAGAGTAGATTTTTAAATTACATTCAGTAAATTACAAATTTTAGAATTATTTAAAGTAAATAATAGTTTATGTAGTAAATGAAACATTTGCACGATAAATGTTTCATTTAATTTTAAAAATTTGTTATTTACTATATTCTCCCATTTTATATATACATTATGTTTATGTATACGTAAATATCATATCTAATAGTATTACGTGTAAATTAGGGAAAGTAGTATTATATATGCTTGTGATTTTAATGGTTACTTAAATATTCACTCGTCTATGGGTATCATTATTTTAATCGTAAGACATTAATCTAATGATTATAAAATTGGGTAATTGATCAAAAAAATTATAGCAATTAATGAAATTAGATTTTTATCATGTCATGTCATTGAAATTTTTATATTTAATAAGTAAATATAGATAGAAACTTAACTATTAAAACTCATCTCTCTCTACATATATAATATATTATTAGCACTTTGATTCTAAAATTATAACTTATATTTTTATGTACTCCATCTATAATTCTCATACTATTGAATTTTCCCTTTTCTCCTAGTCTATGGATGTAGGAACGTTGTTATATTATTATCTTTTTCCTTTTATATTCTTCTTCAATTTTTGATATAGTATCAAAGTGATTAATATTGTTCCCTAAATCATTCATTGTTAAAGCCTTTGTTTTCTCTCTGTGTGCTTATACGTGTTTTTTTTTTTGTTGGTTTGTAAAACGATGTAATGTGTGGAAGCATGGAAACTCAAATTGGTCAAATAAAAATTTTCTTAACATTTTTGTGAAGGCTATATAATATAATAATTTATAATGAATAAATTAATTTAATTAATTTAGAATAAGAATTATACTTAGCAACTGATTAGAATGATAACTTGATTTTTTTGACCACGAACAATCCTAGTGCTCAGATTCCTTAGATCACTAAGAGACTTCCTCATCAATTCTTTGATTCTATTAAGAACGTGTGTGTGGGCACACCTGAAATTAGATAAAACAGTTATCAGTCTCTCATAGGTTATCCATGAGCATCAACACATGTACGACATGGAATTGGGGTTGGAAAAACTTTTTCTCCCTATAAACCGACCACAATTGTGTTTTTCAATTTTCTACAAACTCTTATTTATAGAGTCCGAGCTCTTTGTTTTTAACTTAAAGATAAAGCAACTCAAGATAGAGATAAATTTATCTCTCATTTATCTATACAGGTAAAACAACTCAAGATAGAGATAATTTTCTCTCTCATTTATCTATACAAGGCCAACCGCACAGGGATAATCTCCCTTGTAGTTGGCCTTTTTAGCAAATAGGGGAAGGAGAAAATTTTCTCCTTTATCTTGAAGTCCAATATTGATTCAAATTCAAATTCAAATTCAAATTAAAGTCTAACTTCAATTTAATTTGAATTTCAATCAGATAACTTGTCCAATAAGTAAACTGGATAACTTGAAGAGGAAACAACTGAATCCCAGAAGGATTCTTCCTATAATGAGCGTGTGGCACTGTAACACCCTGAAGAATTAATTAAGATTAATTAAGGTAATTAAGATTATTAGTGTGCCTAATCTGGATTATTAATTGAGTTTAATTAATAAATGTTTCTGACACGTATGAGTTTAAATAGTTCTAAGGTATTTAAATTATTCTCAGTAATTTATTTTAACTCAGAAGTGTGTATGGGCGCATTTCTGGACTGTTTTTTTTAAATATTGTACACGTGCCCTTTTCCTTTCCGCTTTCCTTTTTCCTTTTTCTTTTCTTTTTTTTCTTTTCCTTTTCTTTTCTTTTTCTCTTCCTTTCCCGTGCGTCTCTCTCCCTCACTCTCTCTTTCTCACTCTCACTCTCTCTCTCTCTCTCTCTCATTTTTTGTCCCAAATCAAACGGATCTTGAACCAAGCAAAGATTTAAAGAAGTTTTCAACGTTAAGAGAAGGATTCGAGGTAAGATTACTGAAAGAACCTCTCTTGAATCTTACGTTTTCGGATTTCAAAACCCATTTTTGGTTCAAATCGGATTTTGATGGTTTTTGAGTAAAACTATAGTAGAAATTGGAGATCTTGGGTTCTTTGGACTTGTTTTAGGACCTAGAACCCAGATCTAGTGGTTTCCCTTTGAAAAATCTCGATTTGGGACTGGATTTGCAGGTTTCGGATTGATTTTCGTGAGCTTCTCTCGCGCAGCTGATTTCACCGGTCGACCTGTGCGGTCGACCGGATCACATGGAAACCGGTCGACC